TGATCCTGCCTTGTTTAGCCTAATGGAAATGTAACACTAGCTCGATAGGGGGAAAAAGCAGACTTCAGAAGCTGCAGGATCAGAAGAGCAGTTCTCTGTCTATCCGCCTGTCGGAGCTTCCCTCCTAAGACCAGCTGCCAGTCAAGGCTATGGACTTAATTCTGTATATCCATGTGGGAGGCGCGCTGCTCGACTGACCGAACGTTCGTTTGTCCACCCAGCCCGGACCATCAGTAGTACCACCGACGGTCCTGACCCAGCCACGATTGTTTCAATCTTAACGCAGATTTTTTAACACTGATCTGGGTTCTAAAACATGTCATAGGAAATATCCGCAGAAGTCAATGCGAGCAGGACGCTTTTGCCCACGTGACATGTCGAGCGTCTAATTTTTAATTATGAATCGACATCACAGCACTTATGACATTCCCATAAATGGTCCGGTCCCATCTTCAGCTCCAATGGTACCAGTTAGAGTCTGATTATATATCCGTCTCACCTTTCCCTTGAAGGCTGATCGTCGACCCGATCTCCGGGTAACTACTAGCAGCCCCACTCTCCTCAGATCTTGATGATCCATCCGTGCTCCCGCACTGCTGACTCGCCCACAAAGGGCATCTAGCTTCTCATGCGTCAATTCACCACCAAATTGTACAGAACCAGCCAGTCTATCTGCCTGCTCGTTTCCCAACACATTTGCGACATATGATGGGGGAAATATCCAAAGAACGTTAATTACGTGAGACAGCTAAACCGATACTTGCCACTCGTCACAGAGTATACTTGCCACTCGTCACAGAGTATACTTGCCACTCGTCACAGAGCATACTGGCCACTCGTCACAGAGTATACGTGCCACTCGTTACAGAGTATACTTGCCACTCGTCACAGAGTATACTTGCCACTCGTCACATAGCACTCTTGCCACTCGTCACAGAGCACATGGGTCTTCATCAGCATTTATAGGTCCATAAAACTGCAGGTTAATACCGACTGGCCACTGTGTATTTTGTTGTAGAAATAGAGCAGTCTGTCGGTTACCGGGCGTCCATGCTTCCGTGTCTCTGTGCCTGTGTATCTGAATGCATTTATGTGCGTGTCTGTCTGTCTGTGCGTGTATGCGCATCCGTTTTCAGTTCGTGCCTGTGTATGTGTCTGTCTGTATGCATGACTGTGTTTGCATGTGTAAGTTTCTGTATGAAGGCATGTATTTAACGTGTATATGTGTATGTGTGTGTGTGTGTGTGTGTGTGTGTATGTGTGTGTGTCTATCTCAATGCAAGTATCTGTTTTGCTTGTGTGTCTTTCGTCAGTATGCATGTATTTACATGCGTGTCTGCGTGTCTGTCTGAAAACATCTACGTACGTGCGCACGTGTCTGCCTAATTGTATACATTTACGTGTGTGTGGGCGTGTGCATATGTATGTATGTATGTATGTATGTATGTATGTATGTATGTATGTATGTATGTATGTATGTATGTATGTATGTATGTATGTATGTATGTATGTATGTATGTATGTATGTATGTATGTATGTATGTATGTATGTATGTATGTATGTATGTATGTATGTATGTATGTATGTATGTATGTATGTATGTATGTATGTATGTATGTATGTATGTATGTATGTATGTATGTATGTATGTATGTATGTATGTATGTATGTATGTATGTATGTATGTATGTATGTATGTATGTATGTATGTATGTATGTATGTATGTATGTATGTATGTATGTATGTATGTATGTATGTATGTATGTATGTATGTATGTATGTATGTATGTATGTATGTATGTATGTATGTATGTATGTATGTATGTATGTATGTATGTATGTATGTATGTATGTATGTATGTACGTATGTACGTATGTACGTATGTACGTATGTACGTATGTACGTAAGTATGTACGTATGTACGTATGTATGTATGTACGTATGTACGTACGTACGTACGTATGTACATATGTAGGTATGTACGTATGTACGTATGTACGTATGTACGTATGTATGTATGTATGTACGTATGTATGTATGTATGTATGTATGTATGTATGTATGTATGTATGTATGTATGTATGTATGTATGTATGTATGTATGTATGTATGTATGTATGTATGTATGTATGTATGTATGTATGTATGTATGTATGTATGTATGTATGTGTATGTATGTATGTATGTATGTATGTATGTATGTATGTATGTATGTATGTATGTATGTATGTATGTATGTATGTATGTATGTATGTATGTATGTATGTATGTATGTATGTATGTACGTACGTACGTACTTACGTCTGTCTGTCTGTCTGTCTGTCTGTCTGTCTGTCTGTCTGTCTGTCTGTCTGTCTGTCTGTCTGTCTGTCTGTCTGTCTGTCTGTCTGTCTGTCTGTCTGTCTGTCTGTCTGTCTGTCTGTCTGTCTGTCTGTCTGTCTGTCTGTCTGTCTGTACGTATATAAAATATCATACTTAAAATCACCGTGGGCTGTTAGAGATTACATCAGGGGCTGGCTATCTTGTCTGACATTATGTTTGATTCAGTGCAGTCAAATATACATATATATATTTCGCATCTGATATTGGTCGCTGCCATCACGACAGTCTAGAAAACGACTCATTCCGCTACCCATGTTACTCATGAACCTTCGTGTCCAGTGTGTCTTTGATAACTCATGTCGCACTGGTCAACACCTGCCTCTTCTCCCAAGTGCCTTTTCCTTCTATACAGTTCTCTGTAAACCATGACGGTTTTAAGTTGCCGAAATATTTATGTTTCAGACAAACGATATATTTGTTATCAGATATATTGGTGTAATCTTGTGTGTGTGTGTGTGTGTGTGTGAGAGAGAGTGTGTATGTGTGTGTATGTGTGGCGTGTGTGTGAGTGTGTGTGAGTGTGTGTGTGTGAGTGTGTGTGTGTATGTGTATGTATGTGTGTGAGTGTGTATGTGTGTTTGTGTGTGAGTGTGTGTGTGTATGTGTGTGAGTGTGAATGTGTATATGTGGAGTAAACAAAGCAGACCAAGTGAGAGATCATGCCACTCGGGCAACAGGTAGTCTCTTCCATGCGTCTCTATAAACCAATTTTAGATTATCGTCTAGAACCACAGAATGGCACAACAGTGATCTAATATTGCAGTGTTCAGATTTGCCCATTATGGAGTTAATCATTGTTCCTGTGCCAGCGAAAAGCCTAAAGAATTGACACGGTTGTCTCTTATGGAGGGGTTTCTCCTTCGTCTTCTTTCGTTCGCTTGAAGCAGATTATCTATATCTGCAACGATGTCTCAAGTATGAATTTTACTGTCTGTTGCAATTTACTCAGCCACCAGTCTAGTCTGGCTTGCACCGACGTTTCTGGAATGGCATAGGAAGTCAAACAGGCAGTCGTCTAAAAAAAAAAAAAAAATCAGAACGCAAACACATTCCCATTTTAATGCCTAGGTATATGTTAAAAGCATAACTATGTTTGTGAGGTTTCGATTCAACAAATTGATGAATACAGTAACAGACTGGTGACCGAGAATATATTGACATTTAGACATATAACCGGGTGGATGTTCTTATGTGTATATGATATCTTAGAGTCAATGTACTCTTCCAATTAACTGATGAAATAATAATTTGCCGTGTTTGTTTTAACGGTTGACAAACATGCATATGAATATATCTGTATTTGCATAGGAGAAAAAAACTGCATCGAAGTCTGTTTCCATATTTAATTGTAGGTTGTCAATTAAAAAGCAGTGGTGCAACTCACACGAGTAGTAGGCATTACTATTGAAAAGTTTATATTATACATTTATTTAAATATATATATAAAACAACGTTTGCCATAAGACATGTTGACATTTTAATTATGTTTATTTGCTATCGCTATCCGTTTAAAGACTAACGTTTATCACATACACAAGAAGAGAACAATTTCCTAGGATAACTTTATCAAATGTTAAAATAAGTATTCATTCACAAGTTAGTTAATTAGTGGGTAGATTGTCGTCACTAAACACCAGACTGGTCAGTCCATAAGCATTGGATTACTTATACGGTGTGTCCCTCAGTCCGCATTTGATCCCTCAGCCTGCAGTGTATCTCTCAGCCTGCAGTGTATCTCTCAGCCTGTAGTGTATCTCTCAGCCTGCAGTGTATCTCTCAGCCTGCAGTGTATCCTCTAGCCTGCAGTGTGTCCCTCAGCCAGCAGTGTATCCACAACCAGCAGTGTATCCCTTAGCCAGCAGTGTATCCCACAGCCAGCAGTGTATCTCCCAGCCAGCAGTGTATCCCTTAACCAGCAGTGTATCCACAACCAGCAGTGTGTCCCTCAGCCAGCAGTGTATCCACAACCAGCAGTGTATCCCTTAGCCAGCAGTGTATCCCACAGCCAGCAGTGTATCCACAACCAGCAGTGTATCTCTTAACCAGCAGTGTATCTCTTAACCAGCAGTATAACCCCCAGCCAGCAGTGTATCCCCCAGCCAGTAGTGTATCCCCCTGCCAGCAGTGTATCCACAACCAGCAGTGTATCCCCAGTCAGCAGTGTATCCCCCAGCCAGCAGTGTATCCTCCAGCCAGCAGTGTATCCCCCAGCCAGCAGTGTATCCCACAGCCAGCAGTGTATCCCCCAGCCAGCAGTGTATCACTCAAGCTGCAGTGTATCACCCAGCCAGCAGTGTATCCCCAGCCAGTAGTGTATCACTCAACCTGCAGTGGATCCCCCAGTCAGCAGTGTATCCCCCAGCCAGCAGTGTATCCCACAGCCAGTAGTGTATCCCCCAGCAAGCAGTGTATCCTCCAGCCAGCAGTGTATCCCCCAGCCAGCAGTGTATCCCCCAGCCAGCAGTGTATCCCCCAACCTGCAGTGTATCCCCCAGCCAGCAGTGTATCCCCCAGCCAGCAGTGTATCCCCCAACCAGCAGTGTATCCCCCAGCCAGCAGTGTATCCCCCAACCTGCAGTGTATCCCCCAGCCAGCAGTGTATCCCCAGCCGGTAGTGTATCACTCAACCTGCAGTGTATCCCCCAGTCAGCAGTGTATCCCCCAGCCAGCAGTGTATCCCACAGCCAGTAGTGTATCCCCCAGCCAGCAGTGTATCCCCCAGCCAGCAGTGTATCCCCCAGCCAGCAGTGTATCACTTAACCTGCAGTGTATCCCCCAGCCAATAGTGTATCCCCCAGCCAGTAGTTTATCACTCAACCAGCAGTGTATCCCCCAGCCAGCAGTGTATCCCCAGCCAGTAGTGTATCACTCAACCTGCAGTGTATCCCCCAGTCAGCAGTGTATCCCCCAGCCAGCAGTGTATCCCACAGCCAGTAGTGTATCCCCCAGCCAGCAGTGTATCCCCCAGCCAGCAGTGTATCCCCCAGCCAGCAGTGTATCCCCAAGCCAGCAGTGTATCCCCCAGCCAGCAGTGTATCCCCAAGCCAGCAGTGTATCCCCAAGCCAGCAGTGTATCACTCAACCTGCAGCGTATCCCTCAGGGAGCAGTGTATCCCCAACCTGCAGTGTATCCCCCAGCCAGCAGAGTATCACTCAACCTGCAGTGTATCCCCCAGCCTGCAGTGTATCACTCAACCTGCAGTGTATCCCCCAGCCAACAGTGTATCACTCAGCCTGCAGAGTATCACTCAACCTGCAGTGTATCCCCCAGCCAACAGTGTATCCCCCAGCCAGCAGAGTATCACTCAACCTGCAGTGTATCCCCCAGCCTGCAGTGTATCACTCAACCTGCAGTGTATCCCCTAGCCTGCAGTTTATCACTCAACCTGCAGTTATCCCCCGGCCAGCAGTGTATCCCCCAACCTGCAGTATATCCCCCAGCCAGCAGTGTATCACTCAACCTGCAGTGTATCCCCCAGCCTGCAGTGTATCACTCAACCTGCAGTGTATCCTCCAGCCAGCAGGGTATCACTCAACCTGCAGTGTATCCCCCAGCCAGCAGTGTATCACTCAGCCTGCATTGTATCACTTAACCTGCAGTGTATCCCCCAGCCTGCAGTGTATCACTCAACCTGCAGTGCACCCCCAGCCTGGAGTATAACAGTCAGCCTGCAGTGTATCTGTATCTCTCAGCCTGCAGTGTTTGACGAGATCGGTTCTGTGTTGGTTGACGATTTTTCTGCTTCTTGTCTGCCGTTTTCATTTAACCTGATCCTCGTGACTTGCAGTTCTGGTAGCTTTTGCAGTTCTGGTAGCTCTTGCAGTTCTGGTAGCTTTTGCAGTTCTGGTAGCTCTTGCAGTTCTGGTAGCTCTTGCAGTTCTAGTAGCTCTTGCTGTTCCGGTAGCTCTTGCTGTTCTGGTAGCTCTTGCTGTTCTGGTAGCTCTTGCTGTTCTGGTAGCTCTTGCTGTTCTGGTAGCTCTTGCTGTTCTAATAGCTCTTGCTGTTCTGGTAGCTCTTGCTGTTCTGGTAGCTCTTGCAGTTCAGGTAGCTCAAGCAGTTCTGGTAGCTCTTGCAGTTCTGGTAGCTCTTGTTGTTCTGGTAGCTCTTGCTGTTCTGGTAGCTCTTGCTGTTCTGGTAGCTCTTGCTGTTCTGGTAGCTCTTGCAGTTCTGGTAGCTCTTGTTGTTCTGGTAGCTCTTGCAGTTCTAGTAGCTCTTGCTGTTCTGGTAGCTCTTGCAGTTCTGGTAGCTCTTGTTGTTCTGGTAGCTCTTGCAGTTCTAGTAGCTCTTGCAGTTCTGGTAGCTCTTGCAGTTCTGGTAGCTCTTGTTGTTCTGGTAGCTCTTGCTGTTCTGGTAGCTCTTGCTGTTCTGGTAGCTTTGCTGTTCTGGTAGCTCTTGCTGTTCTGGTAGCTCTTGCAGTTCTGGTAGCTCTTGCAGTTCTGGTAGCTCTTGCAGTTCTGGTAGCTCTTGTTGTTCTGGTAGCTCTTGCTGTTCTGGTAGCTCTTGTTGTTCTGGTAGCTCTTGCAGTTCTGGTAGCTCTTGCAGTTCTGGTAGCTCTTGCAGTTCTGGTAGCTCTTGTTGTTCTGGTAGCTCTTGCTGTTCTGGTAGCTCTTGCTGTTCTGATAGCTTTTGCTGTTCTGGTAGCTCTTGCTGTTCTGGTAGCTCTTGCTGTTCTGTTTGTTTTTGCTGTTCTTGTAACTATGGTTGTGCTCGCTGTTCACAATGTTCTTGCTGTTCATGTTGTTCTTGCCGTTCCTGCTATTTTTGCTGTTCATGCTGTTTTTGCTGTTCTCGCTGTTCTTGCTGTTCATGCTGTTCTTGCTGTTCATGCTGTTCTTGATGTTCATGATGTTCTTGCTGTTCATGATTTTCGTTTTGTTCTTTCTGTTCATGATGTAATAGTAAAAGATCATAAATCAGACAGTTAATAAGGCAAATAAGCTCGCAAGAGTATTGCTTGATGCTGCAGACGGAGTCGAAGCGCTTATGGGAGTGTCCCAAGATGACGATTCCTTAATCAAACATTCAAAACGCACTAGATTTATTAAAGACTCATTAGATATATTGGAGAGTTATTACTCAGAAAAATCACAACCATGGGAGATAATTCAAACCAAACATCAAAGGCAAGCAGCCTTAACTCCGAGGATTCATTTGGCAGTGCGGTTCCTGTTCTTGTTTCCGACGAAGATACGGAACTTATCCTACTTGTGATATCATGTATTATCAGAGGAACTGTGACCATCTTCGGTATTATCTTCAACATCATCAACGCGATGGTGTTCACCAAACTGGGACTGCAGGAGACATCCAACGTTTTATTCCTCGCTATCGCCGTTGCTGATTTGGGAGCTCTCCTGACTCTTTTGCTGGGCAGTGTCTGCCAAAACCCGCCCATGTTTGAGGTGTTTCAAAACGTAGATATGGCCGAGATTTTATTCCTGGCGTCTGCATGGCCTCATTATTATTTCACTCTAGTTTCTGCGATTCTCACCTGCCAAATCACAATTGAGAGATATTTATGCATCGCTTTTCCTTTAGCGGTTCGTCGTCTGATACGCACCAGTCGAGCAGTCATATCAATTGTTGCCGTTTACACCACCACCTTATCTTTTGTTTTACCTGTGTTCACGTCCATCCAACTGGGGCTCGAATTCAGCTTGACCAAAAACTCCACAATATTTGGCCTTATTCTGTCGCCAGACATGGTCAGTACAATCCAGATGACGAATCTGTTCAACAACGTTATCCACATCACTGCTTTCTTCATCGTATCCCTGACAACGACCTTAACAGTACACAAATTAGTCGCCATGTCAAAATGGCGGAACGCAAATGCATTGTCTGTAAATAGCATCAGTTCCCGGGATAAGAAAATTTCTCGGATGGTTATTTCCAATGCCATAAGTTTTATCGTCTGTTTGATCCCCGTGTCGGCGCTCCGTTTCTCATCCTTCATTAACTCGCGCATGCTGAACGGCGACTATTACAGAAATCTAATGACGATTCTCCTCGCAGCAACCGCTTTTCTAACGGGGACTGTTCACTCCGCAGGTCGCATCTTTGTTTACA